CAATGGGGTCTTTAGGTGAAGGGAAATTTAAAGTCCAGGTAAAAGGGAAATACATGATCCCGGTGAAGGAATAATGATCCAAATGAAAGGAACTACAGATCCCGGTAGGAACTCATGATCCGGTGAAGGAACTCTGATCCAGGTGAAGGGGAAATACAATCCAAATGAAGGAACACATGACCAGTGAAGGGAAATACATGACCAGTGAGGAACTACATGACCGGTGAAGGAACTACATGATCCAAGTGAAGGAACTACATGATCCAAGTGAAGGAACTACATGATCCAAGTGAAGGAACTACATGATCCATGTGAAGGAACTACATGATCCAGGTGAAGGAACTACATGATCCAAGTGAAGGAACTACATGATCCAGGTGAAGGAACTACATGATCCATGTGAAGGAACTACATGATCCATGTGAAGGAACTACATGATCCAGGTGAAGGAACTACATGATCCAGGTGAAGGAACTACATGATCCATGTGAAGGAACTACATGATCCAGGTGAAGGAACTACATGATCCAAGTGAAGGAACTACATGATCCATGTGAAGGAACTACATGATCCAGGTGAAGGAACTACATGATCCAGGTGAAGGGTCAACATGATCCAGGTGAAGGGTCAACATGATCCAGGTGAAGGGTCAACGTGATCCAGGTGAAGAGTCAATGTGAACCAGGTGAAGGGTCAACATGATCCAGGTGAAGGGTCAACATGATCCAGGTGAAGGGTCAACATGATCCAGGTGAAGGGTCAACATGATCCAGGTAAAGGGTCAACATGATCCAGGTAAAGGGTCAACATGATCCAGGTGAAGGGTCAATATGATCCAGGTGAAGGGTCAATATGATCCAGGTGAAGGTTCAACATGATCCAAGTGAAGAGTCAACATGATCCAGGTGAAGGGTCAACATGATCCAGGTGAAGGGTCAATATGATCCAGGTGAAGGGTCAACATGATCCAGGTGAAGGGTCAACATGATCCAGGTGAAGGTCAATAGTGATCCAGGTGAAGGGTCAACATGATCCAGGTGAAGGGTCAACATCATCCAGGTGAAGGGTCAACTATGATCCAGGTGATAGGTCAACCGATCCAGTGAAGGGTCATTGATCCAGGTGAAGGGTCAACATGATCCAGGTGAAGGGTCAATATGATCCAGGTGAAGGGTCAATATGATCCAGGTGAAGGTTCAACATGATCCAGGTGAAGAGTCAACATGATCCAGGTGAAGGGTCAATATGATCCAGGTGAAGGGTCAACATGATCCAGGTGAAGGGTCAACATGATCTAGGTGAAGGGTCAACATGATCCAGGTGAAGGGTCAATATGATCCAGGTGAAGGGTCAACATGATCCAGGTGAAGGGTCAACATGATCCAGATGAAGGGTCAACATGATCCAGGTGAAAGGTGAACATGATCCAGGTGAAGGGTCGAACAATCCAGGTGAAGGGTCAATATATCCAGGTGAAAGGGTGAACATGATCCAGGTGAAGGGTCAACATGATCCAGGTGAAGGGTCAACATGATCCAGGTGAAAGGTCAACATGATCCAGGTGAAGGGTCAACATGATCCAGGTGAAGGGTGAACATGATCCAGGTGAAAGGTCAACATGATCCAGGTGAAGGGTGATGCAGTGAAGGGAACTGATCCAGGTGAAGGGTCAACATGGTCCAGGTGAAGGGTCAACATGATCCAGGTGAAGGGTGAACATGATCCAGGTGAAGGGTCACATGATCCAGGTGAAGGGTCAACATGATCCAGGTGTAGGGTCAACATAAAACCTACCACTAGAGGATCAGACAAATCATTACATATCAGATTTACTTAATAATGGCAATAATTCCGACTGATGTACATACTGGTTTAGTGGGTGTTGCTGCTGGTGTGATAACATTAACACAGCCTCTGGTTCGCAGGTCCCAGAAACGCACCGTTCGGTCCTGGGAGCCAGAGACAAACATGGCTCCTCCCCAGGTGTGTAATGCCAATATGTGACCTGTAAAGTAATTGTTAATAATAATATTATTATAAAAACAATAATACAGTGGACCCCCGGTTAACGATATTTTTTCACTCCAGAAGTATGTTCAGGTGCCAGTACTGACCGAATTTGTTCCCATAAGGAATATTGTGAAGTAGATTAGTCCATTTCAGACCCCCAAACATACACGTACAAATGCACTTACATAAATACACTTACATAATTGGTCGCATTCGGAGGTGATCGTTATGCGGGGGTCCGCTGTACGAATAATAATAAAGATCAATCTTTTTCAACGAACTGGGTGACCCAAAAAGAAAAATGAGTTTCTCTTTAAATTTAGTAATATATACAGGAGAAGGCTAGCCTCTTTCTCCGGGCATTTTAGTCATCTCTTATGACACGCATGACTTACAGAGGAAGAATTCTGATCCACTTCCCCATGGAATAATAACAATAATTCTCTATGGGGAAATGGAACAGAATTCTTCCTCCATAAGCCATGCATGTTGTACGAGGCTACTAAAATGCCGGAAGCAGGAGGCTAGTAACCCCTTCTCTTGTATACATTATTAAATTTAAAGAGAGAAACTTTCATTCTTCTTTTTAGGTCACCCTGCCTCAGTGGGATATGGCCGATTTGTGTAAATAATAATAATAATAATAATAATAATGGAAGGAAGGCTGGGTTGGGGTTGGCCTAGGAAAAGTTGGAGGGAGGGGGTAAAGGAGGTTTTGTGTGTGAGGGGCTTGGATTTCCAGCAGGCATGCATATTTTTTTTTCTTTTTTAACACATTGGTCGTTTCCCACCGAGGCAGGGTGACTCAAAAAGAAAGAAAATCACCAAAAAGAAAATACTTTCATCATCATTCAACACTTTCACCTCATTCATACATAATCACTGTCTTTGCAGAGGCATTCAGATATGACAGTTCAGAAGTCCCTCCAAACTGCCAATATCCCAAACCCCTCCTTTAAAGTGCAGGCATTGTACTTCCCATTTCCAGGACTCAAGTTCGGCTAACTGGTTTCCCTGAATCCCTTCACAAAATATTACCCTGCCCCCACTCCAACAGCTCATGAAGACCCAAAAACCATACGTCTCCATTCACTCCTAACACGCTCACACATGCTTGCTGAAAGTCTAAGCCCATCACCTACAAAACCTCCTTTACCCCCTCCCTCCAACCTGTTTGAGGATGACCCTTACCCTGTCTTCCTTCCCCTAAAGATTTATACACTCTCCGAGTCATTCTACTTTGATTTATTCTCTCTAAATGACCAAACCACCTCAACAACCCCTCTTCAGCCCTCTGACTATTACTTTTAGTAACTCCACACCTCCTCCTAATTTCCACACTCCGAATTCTCTGCATAATATTTACACCACACACTGCCCTTAGACATGACATCTCCACTGCCTCCAGCCATCTCCTCGCTGCAGCATTTACAACCCAAGCTTCACACCCATATAAGTGCTGGTATCACTATACTTTTGTACATTCCCTTCTTTGCCTCCATGGATAACTTTTTTTCTCCACAGATGCCTCAACACATCACTCACCTTTTTTTCTTCATCAATTCTATGGTTAACCTCATACTTCATAAACCCATCCACTGACAAGTCAACTTCCAAATATCTGAAAACATATACTTCTTCCATACTTCCTCTCTCCAAGGTGATATCCAATTTTTCTTTATCTAAATCATTTGATACCCTCGTCACCTTACTCTTATCTATGTTCACTTTCAACTTTCTACCTTTACACACCCTCCTATACTCATCCACTAACCTTCCCATAAGCACAGTATCATCAGCAAAAAGTAACTGTGTCAATTCCCATTCAACACTTTCATCTCATTCACACATAATCACTGTTTCTGCAGAGGTGCTCGGAATACAACAGTTTAGAAGCATATATGTATAAAGACACACAACACATCCCTCCAAACTGCCAACATCCCAAACCCCTCCTTTAAAGTGCAGGCATTGTACTTCCCATTTCCAGGACTCAAGTCCGGCTATATAAAAATACCCTGCTCACACTCCAACAGCTCGTCAGGTCCCAAATATCATTCGTCTCCATTCACTCCTATATAACACGCTCACGCATGCTTGCTGGAAGTCCAAGCCCCTCGCCCACAAAGCCTCCTATACCCCCTCCCTCCAACCTTTTCGAGGACAACCACTACCCCACATGCATGAATGTATTATATAGGAGAGAGTGGAGACAAATGGTTTTTAGGACTTGATGTGCTGTTGGAGTGTGAGCAAGGTAACATTTATAAAGGGATTCAGGGAAACCACCAGGTCAGACTTGAGTCCTGGAGGTGGGGAGTACAGTGCCTGCAATCTGAAGGATGAGTGTTGATAAGTTGCAGTTTTATAAATGTAGTGCAGGCATGCCTCTGGCAAGACAGTGATGGAGTGAATGATGGTGACGAAAGCGTTTCTTCTTTTATGGGTCACCTGCCTTAGTGGGAAATAGCCAATGAATTAATAAAATAAATAATAATTATAATAATCTTTATTTCTACAGATACATGATACAACTTATACAAACCGAGCTGACAAGGGGCTTTCCATATAGAAAGCCCCCTTAGTATAGCACTGATGAAGAAGCAGTGGCTACATCAGTCCTATACAAAGAAGAATGATGAAGATCAGAAGGAGTTTGAGGTAATCAGTCCCTCAGAGTGGAGTCGCTTTAATCAGTCCATCAATTCTGAAAAGAATACAGCATATGCTCAAAGAAAGTAGTTTATATACTGTAGACAGGTGAGGTGAAGCAGTCGTAGGTGATATCACTGTGGATAAATCCACAAGTGGAAGTAGATCTTGACTATAGGTTAGGCAGGGAATTCTTGACTTGCCTAACCTATAGCCATGACTTATTTCTACATGTGGATTTGTCCACTGTGATAACACCTACGACTGCTTCACCTCACCTGTCTACAGTATATAAACTACTTTCTTTGAGCATATGCTGTATTCTTTTCAGAATTGATGGACTGATTACAGCGACTCCACTCTGAGGGACTGATTATCTCAAACTCCTTCTGATCTACACCATTCCTCTCTGTACAGGACTGATGAAACCAATGTGTGGCAAAACATTTTCTCAATAAGATACCCAAGTGTTGCACATGTATTATTGATGAAATGTTTCGCCTACACAGTAGACTTCTTCAGTCACATACAAAAGTAGCAAGTGTAGTAGTGAAATAAAGATGATGAATCAGTCCACCAACCTTGGAGAAAAAAGTATTTGAGTGGTGCATCCCCGCCTGGAGAAGAGTTTGCTCATTGGTTCTCAGAAACCTATATATGCTTTGTGTATATATCACAACCACATACGACTTACAGACCGAGTTCGGTAAATACAGAAAACGGTCGATAGTCGAACTATTACTATGAATATCAACAAACATTTTTGTTAATGACTTTATTTTATAGTTTTATTTGGGTTTTTCATGTTTACATTGACTTTTTATGCTGTTAGTACTGTATTTTATACAGTAAGGTTTAGGATAAACACTCTGTACACACAATGTAGTTGTTTTTTCCAGAATTTGCATAAAAACACTGGTCGTAGTTCCGTGAGCAGGTCATAAGTCGAGTGGTCGGAAGTCGAGCAGGTCGTAAGTCGGATGGTAGGTGTAGTATATCGATATAGAGTTCCAGACCATGGAGCTGAAGTCTTCTCCAGGCTGAAGGACTGACCACCTCAAATGCTTTTTCTCCACTTTGAAGAAATAATGATGATTACCTCATCTTTATTTCACTACTACACTTGTTTCCTCTGTATCCGACTGAAGAAGCCGACTGTGTAGGCGAAACTTTTTATCAATAAAGATACTCAACTGCTGTAATGATTTTATTTAAACTTAAATGAACTTCAGTAGGATGGCACTGACCTGTGTGGCCAGAGAGAGCCTGAAACGGGGTGCCAGTAGCACAGTCATGACGTAAATCTTGCATCACCAGCCCCGCCAAGATGGAAGAGCGACTTTTGCTGGCATCTTCGTGAACACATGTCCGCCCGTCCATCGGCATCGTCTTCCACTTTTGCCCTTTAAACACACAAAAACAATTAAGCATAAATATTGTAGTACATGAATATTTCCTGTCTTATTTAAACTGAAATTTTTTCTTGCTTATAAAACAAAACTTTTCACAAAGCTTACACAATTTAAAACCCATCATAAACTGCAAAAGAAAATAAACATAAGCAAGGGTTTGTTACCTCTGTAAATTTTTGAAAAACTTTAGTTTAAAAAAAATATTATTGAACAATATTGAGCAATAAAGAATACACTTTAGCAAGCTAATAACCACAAGTTAACAATTTTTAATATTATATTATAATAAACTAATGAAAACCTCAAAGGGAAACAAGTAATAAAACATTTGTTTTTCATTAATATTTATATTAATTTTGTGACTCTTTCCTCCAAAAGAAAAGGTGTGAAGAGGGGGCTAAATGCAGGAGCAGGCGCAAAAACCCTTTTCCCTTTAAAATACTAAATGTAAAAGAAGAAACCTTCATTTTAATCTTTTTTGGGGACATCCCAGCTTGGGGGAGAGGGCCTGTGTTAAAAAAAAAAAAAAAAAAAAATTTATGAAGATGGCAATTCAGAATAAATTTTAAACCTCAAACGATCCCCCACTTTTTAAAAAAAGTAAAAGATTTATTTCTTTGAAAAGGGCACAATGTGTAATTACAATTTTGGTTTGCTAAACAAAAAAAAGTCACTATCTGCCGGGGCATTGGGCAGACAATCCTAGAAAAATTAACAAGAAAAGATGGTTAATTTATTAAATCTTTTTTTAAATCTTTATAAAAAAGCGAGGTAGCCGAAGTGGCGGTTTATAAAAATAAAATCTTGGGTTTGCACATAACATAAAAAAAATATTACAATTATGGTTCAGTCATAAAATTTTAGGGATTGGCAATGTTTAACCCTTGACTGTCTGGTCGCATATTTTGTTTTCGAGTCACCGTGTTTGCGATAACATGGAACCCCCGGGTAACGTTTTTTTTTTCACTCCTAATATGTTCAGGTGTCATACTGACCAATTTTTTCCCCATAAGGAATATTGTGAAGTAGATTAGCCCATTTCGACCCCCAAACATCACTACAAACGCACTTACATAAATACACTTACATATTGGTCGCATTCGGGGGGAAATCTTTAATGGGGGGCCACTGTATACCAAAAATTCTAGCGGTTAAAATCAAGCAGGAGAAAGCGGGTGGGCCCACAGGGAGAGAAGGGTCGTGTGGTCGGTGCACCATATAAAGAAAACCTGCACCACGCAGTGCATACGAGAAAAAAAAAAAACTCCGCCACTTTTTTGAATTAAAATCCCAAAAATTTTGGGGTCATTTTTGTATAGTATTTATGGTTGTAATCTGTTTTTTTGGTCTTTTGATAGAATGGAAAACTATAATAGAAATGAGGTTTTTTTTAAATTGGTTTTACATGAAAAGACCTTGAAATGGAGCTCAAAATAGGGGAAATGTTTGATTTTTGCCGATGTTCAAAGTAAACAAATAGTCTTTTTCCAAAAAAACGCCAACTACCATTCTAATATTCATCATAAGGGGTTGACATTATTATACAAAATTTACAATATGCAGTAGCGCATAACAGAAATCTTCTATTTTTTGTTTGAATAAATTTTAAAAATAGAAAGCAAGAGTAATATCAGGGGGGCCTGGAGACGTGATTGGAACAAAGAAAATGTTATTTTAAAGTCGAATTTGCATTTTTTATTCTAAACCCTATTTAAAATTTGGGCTTTTTTTTTTAATTTTGCGTGAAATTGTCCAAATTGCAATTTTGACCCGTTCGGATAGTTAAAATTTTGGAAAAAGGGCATTTCTTGAAATCATCAATAGAAAAAGAAGTTCTAAAAAATAGCTATGAGTTGGGGGGACGGAACAAGGTTTTTAAGCCGAAATAGGGTCAAAGTATGAATCCCGATTCGAAAATTTCGCTAGGTGCAAACTTCATGAAGTGTAATTCCATAAATTTTTCATCAAATTTCGTTCTTTTGGTGTCATTACCTTTGGGGGAAAAGTTTCCCTTATCATCTGAAAAGTTTTTTTTTTTTTTTTTTCAAAAATTTTTCGACCCGGGAGACACCTCGGGAGGGGGGGGGTTTTTCGACAGCTGGGTTTAACCCTTTCAGGGTCCGTCCCGTAGATCTACGGCTTTACGTTCGGGGAAAACCGTAGATTACCCATGAGCTCAGTCACTCTGATAAACTGTGAGGGGTACTTTTGGGCCCTGTATAGAAAATACATCTATGTGGTATGGTGCCCCACAAAAAACGATCCTGCAGCACACGTGATAATATGAAAAAAAAAATGAAATCAATTTTTCGATTAAAACGCAACTTTGCAGTGTTTTCTCGTATGTTTTTTTTTGTTTATTTGCGATTTTTTGGGTCTCTTTTGATAGAATGGAAGAATATTACAAAATAGAGATATTTTGTTTGGGGTTTTAGACGGAAAAAGGCTTAAAACTGGCTCAAATTAGCAGAAATGAAAAATTTTTTGCCGTATTAAGAGTAAACAAACGACCTCACACACCCAATCACGTCAGGGGTGGATCTAAATACTTAAAAATTTGGGTGATGATTTTTATACAATTATTACAGTATTGCATAACAGTAAATTTTTCTATTTTTTGGTGGAATAAAAATTCATATTGAAAAAAAAATCAAAATGGAATTTATTTGTAAAGCCCAAACAAAACTAATGAACAGAGGAAATGTTAGTTTGTCCCAGGAATCCCTAATTGTTCTTCGGGCCCTTTTTTTGAAATTGGAATATTTTGAACTTTTGTTAAATTCCCCAAATTAAAAATTTTCGATCACTTTATTTTGTAGTTAAAAACAGTTGGTTTGGCGATTTTTTGTGCTCAACGATAGAATAGAAGAAAATATGAAAATAGCTAAAATTTTGGGTTTGGGAAAAAATAAAATTGGGCCTAAAATGGGAAAAAAAGTCGGAAAAAATCGCCATTCGTAAATATCGCTGACACATAAAAATTTCGCGAGAGCAAATTTCGTCATTTTCCACCAAATTTCGTACTTTTTTTTTTATTACCTTCAAAAAAAGATTCTCTACGATTTCCTAAGAAAAAATAAAAAATTTTTTTTTTTTGAAAATTTTTGGACACTGGTGCGTGACTCCAATTTGGGCCCTTTGGGCCCCTAAAAGGGGTTAATAGACTAGGGGCCCATAAAATAATATTTGGGAGTGTTTTTTTCAAACAATCAGAAGTTTTTTTGGTTGGTTTGGTTTAAGTATTTACCCCTAAACGATCAAACTTTTTAATACATTCAGGCAGCGCCCCGAATATTTGAAAAAAAATAATATAATTATATATATATTTTTTTTTAAAAAAAAAGGGCACCTTTTTTAAGTGTTAAAAAATAAAAAAAAATTAGGGTGGTATTTACCGAGATATGAGGCCGAGAATTGGCACTGATGCTATGTGACAGCAACTGGGTCCGCCGTTTGCAGAAGGTTTGCCGATTTCCCTTTTTTTTATTTTCATATATTTTATGAAATTTTTTAATGTTCTGAAAATTTACAATTTATATAGTTCTTGTCTTTTCATAACCAATCTTTTTTTGACACAAATATTAGGTCTGAAAATGTACCCAATTATCACAAACACATAAAGGGTGGACATTTACCCTGCCTTGGAATAAAAAACAAAGCATTTATGGGCCCCAGCAATGTTTTGGATATGGGAAAAGAAGAAGAAGAAGAAGAAGAGAAGAAAAAGAAGAAAAAGAAGAAAAGAAAAGAAAAGAAGAAAGAAAAATATATATGATGATGAATGATGATGATGAAGAGATGATGTGATGATGAATATGATGATGATGATGTGTGATGATGATGATGATGATGATGATGAGATGATGTGAGATGAGATGATGTGATGATATATGATGAGATGATGATATGATGATGATGAATGATGATGAGAGATGATGATGAATTAATAATTAATAGGTAAAAATATGTTCCCTTAAAGCATAAAAAAACAAAAGTCCACCCTGACGTGCCCTGAAAAGAGAGTTTAACATCGAAAGAGCTGGGTTTGATGAGGAAACGGGGGGGGGGGAGGGTGCACCTGCCAAAGCTCTTATACCTCCAAGCTCTTTCATACCTGCCTAAGCTTTTCCCTCCCCTAAGCCTTTCATCCCTCCCAAAGCTTTTTCATCCCTCCCTAAGCTCTTGGGGTTAGCGTGGGCTTTTTCCCAAAGCACCATGGTTTTGTTGTAGTGTTTTAGAATATCGGGTTCAAGGTTTTTTGAAAAGGAGTTTCTATTTTTCAGGGGAAAAAAAGGAGGTGAAACTTTGCATAGATGAGTTTGGGAGTGAGTGGGGAGAAGGATTTAGCTGGTAAGGAGAAAAGGTCACCCCCTGATAGTGGCAGCCGCTTTAATGGCAAGTGGTTACAGTTCGGAAGAAGGAAGATGAGGAGAGTTAATAGAGAAGATTAAAGGAGGAAATCGATTCCTGTTCCCAAAACAGTGTACTTCGGGTTTGCGAGGTTTAAGGTACCCCTGATTCCCCGCTAATCAAGTAAGAATATTTTAATAGTAGGCTTTTTCAGGTAAGAATTGGGGCTTGCATTTTTTTAAAAAAGGACAGAAAGGGCAACAGAGATGTGCCCGGAGCTGGGGTTGGGACATAGTCGCAGTTTTGGGTAATATTTTGGCAGGTAATGGGAACAAGCCCCTTACTGTCCTTAGGCTGGGGGGAATGACAAGGGAAAGGGGGGAGGAGAAAGAACTGCGGATAAATACAGGTCACCATAGAAGTAGTTAGGTCTAAGGGGGGGATCCCTCATAGTAGCATCTTCCCAGAAAGGGAGTGGGCAATGAATGGTGTCTAGGGGAATGGGTTTAAAATTTCGGGTAGCAGTACTGCAAGGGAAATTGCAATCCCCCTTCATTGATAACGGGGCCCATTCTTTGGCAAACGTAATATGTAGCAAGGGGTGGGGGCTCTCTCTGGGGGTGG